AATTTGTTAATAATCGATAATGTATCGACCTGAAAATTATTACACATTTCACGTGTTATTATTGATAACTAAAATAATCAAATAGCAATAACCGTTTTATTTACATTTGTAATATTCTGACATGACTAACCACCTTGCCAGGATCTCAAATAATCTCAGATGAATAAATTTTTAATAAAATTTATCCTTACTAATTAAGAGCTCAAGTGGTGCCTTATTATTAAAACGATTGATTAATAATTCAAAATTAGTATCTATTTTCTCTAAGAATTTTTGTAATTTTTTAATTTCAGCCACAAATCTGATTAATGATTCAGCATTCCAAAGAATTGCTAATCCAATTCTAACTGTAAGACGAACCGGAATTAAGATATCAATTAAAATTTGTCTTACTTTAATTGGGCTATAAGTGAAGTCATATATATGCGCGATTAAATTCTCATTGTGAACTTGTAGAGTCATGTATCCAATTTCTTTAAGCAATTTTTGAATAGATTGGGTCATGTATGAAGGATCAAAATTGTTACGAACGTGAGCTCCAAACATCAGCATTGCTAATATAAGCTTTGCCTTATCACTCTGTTTTTTATTGAATGATGAATTTACCGGTTTACTTGATTTAAGTGATCCTACTTCTATCTTAAATCTAGGAAATATACTTTCACATATTAATTGGCCATCAGGACGTATTTCATTTGTATTGCTAGCTTTAGAAAAATAGTTAGCATTAAGGTTGACAAATACTAATTCTTCAAATTCACGATTCAAACATGGTGAAGAAGATTTAGGGCTTGCACATGGTGATGATAAAATAGAAGTATTATTTGAACATGGTAATGATGAAATAGGAGTATTATTTGAGCATAGTAACGATGAAATTGAAGATCCTTTATTTCTACTGGCTTCTCGACTAGAATCTGTGAAAGATTTATCCCTATATCAATTAAGTTCCCATATAAAAAATAAATAAATAAATAAAAGAACCCTTAACATCTAAATACATTCTA